TTTGATAATTTTTATAATAAAAGTATAAATTTCTACTATAAATTTCATGATAATATTAATATTAAAATAAAATCATTTTTATTCTATATGCATTTTAAAGTTGAATAATATTTGTAAATAACATTATTTTTAATTAATGTACTATAAATAATATGTTGTAACAAATATGACAACTTTTGACTATTATTGTGACATGACTTTTATCTTTAACTATAAACTGTTCTTTATCAATATATAGTTAAAAAGTAACATAATTCTAATAATTAATGAATATTTGTTTCTTAATTACAGGAACAATAGAAGGGTTTTTATGCAAATACTGCAATGCCTACATTCCTACATTTAATATGGCAACCTCCCATAAGTGTTTCAGGAATAAAGAAATATATGTTGACTGTAATAACGTTTTATTTGCATATAATGAGAAAGATGTCGATGATCGTAAGTTTATTTATTGTTACAACAATATAATTTATAAAACCCAATTTCTAACTTAAAAAATTTAAAGATTTATTTTCAACAAAATTGTAATATGTTTATATAAAATATATAATACTTGCCATATACATAATTTATACTAAGCATACATTGTGAAATATAATTCATATTTTCTTTAATCTATTCTTTTATAACATGTGATATCTTTGAAAAGTTGGAATGTGCTTCTACAGGCAGTAGTGAACAATCTATTAAACATAATAAAGGTAATATATGATTATATATATTTGAATATATATTTAAAGTAAAGTTATTTTTCTATACCATTTTGGAATATGCTGATTATATATTACAGACGCTGTATGGACTGATAACGCAACAATGGTTCTTCTTAGTCTGTATGAAGCCAATATGCATATTTTAGATCATCCTTTTTTTTTTTTTTTTTTTTTTTTTTAGCCAGGGGAAATGCGTTACGCATACCCACGATCTCCGGGGGGAGACCGCGGGTTATGTGGGGCTCCTCCCCCCCCGAGAATGCTCGGGGGGGCCCTACCCACTAAAACCCCTGGCGGGTCCGTCCTCAGCGGTCATCAGGGGGCCCGCGGGAACCACTTGCGTATAACATCCGCGAACCCCCCTCCGCGGTCCAGAGGACCCCTCCCGGACCGGGGGTAATAAATCACCCCCGGTCACGCTCCTCCTGAGCAGCGGCGCGGTGCGACCCAACACCGCGCCGCCTCCCTCCCGGGCCGCTTTGATTGGAGGGTG